AAACGAAATCTTGGATTTTTACAAACAAATTTAGTTTTATATGCTATTAAATCGAATTTCTGATTTATGCGTAACAGCGGTTTGACGATTCGAATTCTCTCTCTCGAGGGTAAACCGCTATTTTTAGGTCGATTGTTTCGATGATTTGGGATTGAGGAAGGCGGTCCAGGTCGCGATGTTGTTGCAACACATGTTTGTAAATAGATCTGCAGACAAGCGGTCTACATTAGAACAAGCCGGAGAATAAATTTAACTTCTAAGAACGGTCGTATAAAATACAATGTGCGACCCACCGTAACCAAACGTTTCGTAGAAAATGAATGAAATTGTAAAAATGGCGGGCCTTTTGATCGCCGATCGTAAAACTGAATAAATTAAAACAGCTGCGATTTCACTGCGGCGGGACCTCTCAACGTATTAAATTGTTATTAATAATAATAAAATTTCACTCTTCGAAATGAGATGTGGCCGCGGTTTGACTTTTGTAATGGGATAAGTGACGCCTTGAAAGGGGAACACATAATATATTTTGACAAACATAATAATTTTATACACATTGTAGTTGCTCCAAACTTTAATTTATTTTAGCATTTTTTTAAAATTAATTTGGTAAGCGATCCAAGTTGAAGTAAATCATCCGTCTTGATTGCAAACAAGCATTTGCAATAATAGAAAATAATGTAGCATGAAATCTAAATTTATTATTTCTAGAAATAACGATAACCTAATGTCAGGTGCTCTAACTGTCCGATGTCAGCAATTTCACTGCAACTATCTACTAAATAAATTCAAGAAAGAATTGGAGCTGAACCAACTTTGTAGTAATTAAATCTCTGGATTTTTTCTTCAAACGAAATTATTTATCACGTCTTCTCTTTTCAAAGCTATTATTTTTGAAATGAGTTTTTCTTATTGCATTAAATTAGAACATGAAAAGAAAGCCATTTTGCTATGTAAACTTGGATATGAAAAAGTTATTTAAATGCAAATTTTACAGCGGTTGAAAAAATATTAATGCAATCAATCACTAAGCCATAGTACTATATTATTAAAATAATTTTTGGTGATTGCTAGTTAATGTTTTTTCGTTTGAAAAAATATCAGGAGGATGTAAAAATCATGCACCAGCAGGTGCGATGTACATTTTGAACTAATTATTTTAAATATGTGAGTGTAATGATGTTGTTTGATGGCAATTATATTGGAAAGTCGAGACCACGTACAAATTATCTCAAATTTCGGTAAACATTAGCTTTGTTGAAGTTGGCAGTTGGCGTCTGTGTTCGTTTCCTTAGAATTATTCAACCCACATGAGAATATCTTCTATGCATTACTCTTCGTTTTACAATAAGGAGAAATTACTGAAATTACCTGTGATATGCATATTACATATAATGATACGGTAGAAATGTGCAAACTATAATATTAAATTCATTTCGTGATCTACCAGAAATTCCAGACAATTTCTACAAATTGCAGCTAGCAATTTTTATTTGGCCAAACGAAGAGCTACTAAGCCAATTAATTCAAAATCAAGAAAAAGTCTTTTATTTGGTATTTAACCTAAAATTATGAAAAAATACGAATTTCGCACTTTATGAAATAAAATGCAAATGTAAATTATTATTAGGTAGGTACCTATTAGTTTTAAAAATTAAATTAGTTAATTAATTTTATTGACCCTGAATAAAAAAAAATATTTTAGCCAGCTTGAAATGAGTACATAAATTAAACTCAACAAAACTTAAAGTCCTAGTGGAATTTAAAACAGTAGTTGCAGTTTCCATTACCTATTTCGAAATCTGATTTTTGCAAATAATTTTTTCGTTTTTGGAAACTTTTTTTCGTTTGATAATTTTAATTATTAAATGAAATTATTAAATTAAAATTAGGTAAGTAAACTTGTTGCTCAGAGGGATGATTTTTGCTACATTGAATTGCTGCATTTTTTATTCATAAAAACTCAGATGATTCGCAATTTTGGATTTTTTACAGCTGATTTTGATATTTTTGGTGCTTGAATAACGTTGTAACTCAAAAAGAAAAGAACGAATTGCGACTATCCAGCAACCTATCCAAAAAAAATTATAGAGATTTTGTGATTTCTGATCATACTGATGTCAAGTTTTGAAAACTCTTGGTTGGTGGTCAATTCCCGTTGGCAATTTTTCGTGTTATCTCCGTTCTACCTTGCGTCAGTTTTGATCCATAAATGTCACCACGTGTAAGTTATAGTTTCATGTGGCAGTGCGTCTCGTAGCACTTCGCCGTGTTACTTTTACGACCCCCGATCCGTCGGAATGCACATGAAAGAACAGTTTGTGTTTTATGTATCATTTGTTGCAGTGTGTCGCCGCTTTTCGATATATGTACTATAATTTGATCAAAGAGACTGACATTGTAAAGTACCACACAGCGCCGACTTTGACGACTTTTTGTTTAGATCCGATCACCCCCATTAAATCCGAAACGATTCCAAATGTTTAATTACTCGCCGCTTTGGCCTGGCACAAAGAGATTTTTCCAACGGAAGGATAAGCGAATGAGTGACAAACCATGACTGATTATCCTCACGTGATCAGATCGACAATAATATAAATATCCTTAGCGGCAGACAGTATCATTATAAAAATAGTTTATAACCGCTCTAATTTCATTTGGGGTCGGGAACACGTGGTGCCCAAATTTCTTTGTTGCTTTTCACTTGATTTGACATGCACGTCGAGGGTATTTATAAATTCAAATTGTTTGCCAGGTTTGATACCTCAATCAGCCGGGGAAAATCACAAATAAGCCAAGCAAATTAGACTATTTTTCACACCAAAATCAACCAATTTTAACACGGAGAGAAAAATGGTAATAGTAGAAAAATAAAAATATCCAATGTATACTAGAAGCTTATAGAAAATGCTGTTTTTTTTAATAAAATTTCATTGACACACAATTTCAATAACAAATTAAATAATACCTAATTAAAAAATAAACGAAAATTACCTTTTAAAAGTACATACTTAATTAATCCATTAATCTGACTAAAATGAGCCTGTTACATTGAAGGTTTTAAATAAGTTTAAAAAAAAACAAAGTTTTAATGTTACATTTATTTTAATAAATTTTTGGTTGCTGTTAAAATAAAAATATCGTAAAAACCTCTGGAAATTTAAAAAAATGTGAAACATTACCAATTTTATTTTAATAAAATTTGAAGGCTCATTTCCATTGAATAAGATTTTAATAAGAATAAGATCTGTGGGAAGCAAAATTCGAAACTTTAGTGTTAAAATTATTAAACTATGCAAGAGGAATGGCGCTCATTTTTTATAATGGCGTCATTTATTGCTCATATTCAAGGATTTCCGCAGCTATAAACTCAAATATGCATTTTATTTAACGCCAAGAACACTGAATAACGTTTTTTACGTGTTTTTTTATTTCTTAGATGTGATGGTTTCCATTTTTTTACTAATTTTTTAATGATCATCGTGTTGTGTTTTGGATTAGAAAAGTGTAATGAAAAATTATGTTTTGAATTCTAGTAGCATCAATACACGTGATAATAATCCAAGAAGGCCAAACATTTAAAATGTTGACAACTTCTTTATTTTATAAAATAAGTCATCCTCTTGGCTTTAGAGAATGACAAATTTTATTTACGAGTTGTAAATATTTTTCATATTTTCGTTATATTTCAATCTGAAGCGAGATGTAAACAGATGTAACCATTTCCTGTCGGTGTGCGTCTACTAAGACGAATTAATCGATAAAATTAGTATAATTTTTAATGACACGAGTGTTGCCAACACATTAATTTTTCCTACAAAATATTTTTTTAGCAATTTTTGATATCTGTTTCTTTCATTCAACCCCGAAATACGACATATTTATATTTCGAGCTAATTCACTGCTCGGTTTTGTTTTTGTAACCTTAGAAGACATAATAATGACAACTAAGAGATATTGGACGATCGCCAATCTGTTAATAAACTAAATTCACCAGTTGACATAATGTGGCTGTTCCTGATTTTTATAATTATTATCAATTGAGCAATAATTTTAAATAAACAAGAATTTGATAGGCGGCGAGCTCTCGGATAAAAAAAATTCGAGAATAAAAAATAACTTGATGCTGCTTCGAAAATAGAAAACTATTAAAAATTGTGTTATCACCTGTTCCCAATTTATAAAACAATATAAAGGATACGTTTGCAACGGATTTGTACGTCAGCAATTTGACGTTGCGAAATTAAATTCAGTCAAACTAATGTTTTTTTTTTCGATTGTTAATTCTTCTTTTCGCCTGGATTTTATAAATACATGTATTTAGGTATCGTTTAGTGAGTGCGCGATGAGTCAATAAAACAAACAAATCTCACCTTCTATAAAACTTCACGTTAATTTAAATTAGTGATTTTTGTAGGTTGTGTAAACCTAATGAAGATTGACGTATCTAAGATTGAAAACATTTGTCTTGAGAACGCATCAAGTATAATTACCGGTTCCGAAATAGAATTTGAAATCATAATCTACGGACAAACGCTAAAATTAAATAAATCATCACGGCATTCTTTAGATGCGAGCCAGAAAAACAAAACTAGACTGTCATATGATGATCGGCTATTAAAAGATCTCCCGTCGTCATTAACGATTCTATATATTCACGAAGCAAATCAATCATTATCCGAGTTAATGTTAGACTCGAGTCGGAATCTTGCGACATATTGCACATTTTAATACCGTAATTCATCCGAGCCAAAGGAAAGCCATAAATAATAACGCGTTGTAGACTGACTGATTCAGTCTATTGGACGCAAATCTGGCCGGTCAACGTTTTATTACTTTTTAAACACATGTTATTAATTACCGCGACAAATTTTTAAGCTTGTAGTTTACTCGACTTAAATTTAGACACGCGAAACCTTTCATCTTTCAAATGTTTATGCCGCATCCGGCAATATACACACATTTTCGTTTATTTTACCTATATGCTCGTATTGTTTCAGGTACTCCGATTAATCGACTGCCCATCATGGCCAAATCCGTTCTCGATTTATACGAATTGTACAATTTAGTTATCGCAAGAGGTGGACTTGTTGATGTCATCAATAAGAAGCTCTGGCAGGAAATTATAAAAGGGCTGCATCTACCGTCGTCGATAACGTCGGCAGCTTTCACACTCCGGACACAGTAAGTGACATAAATCCTTTCCAACTTTTTTTATTGTTACAAAAAAACAGAACAAGAAAGCCCGACTTTTTATTTGCTCTCTGATAACAGAAACTTTTCTTCTAGTCAAATTTGCAAGGTTTAATTTTTTTTAATTTTTGTCGCTTGAGACATCTTTTCTCGTAAGTCTTCAATTTTTAAATCTTTTCCCAAGTTAACTCCATTTACTAAAGGTTTTCAAAATTGTCAAAGAGATGAATAATTTTGTAAGATATTGTAAGAACAAAGTGGCAAAAGAGAATTTGCAAATAAAATTCTGCCACCACTTCTGAAAAATTTTTGCTTTATAATTCGCAAAAATCGGAGATGATGAATCAATAGCGAAAAAAAAATGAGTACATACTACTATTCCAAACGTCAGAAAAATGACTAAATGTCACAAGTAAAAGTTTTACCTTTTAGGCATAGAGTAAAAACTCTGTTTTTTTCGCCAAAGCGTTTTTACTTTTACCATGACATTTACCAACCTTGTTTCTTTTGCTGCTTCAGCATTTTCTGGGGAGGTACGTTGTAGATTATTATCAGCAATTGACATTGGCAATACAAATTACACTCGTCATTCTCTATAGTCAAATCACTTAAATCAACAAATATTTTCGAAAATCTCAATACAAATTTTGATATTGACACCTGATGTTTGTTGTAAGCGTTATGATTGCATTAGTTGCAAAACGTTTTGATTATTTTGTTCATTTACTTGATAATTATTGTGTTGCTCTTTACTCTCAATTTAAATCCGTTTGTGGATAAAATAGTATAATTATTTTATTCGGACTAAATTCGGTATTTGATCGTTTTTGGAAATTGTGAAAATTGTGCAAGCAAAAGTCAGAAAAAGACCACCGTTGAAGTTTAGACGCAGTTTGTAATACAAGTTTGCTAAACATTCTCTAATTTTTAGAGCAAGAAATCGACGAGAGTACAAAATAAATATGAATTAGAAAGAACTCAATTAAATTAGTGTTTGGTTGCATCGTTTGTTAAGACGAATTGAAAAAGTAACAATTTGGAAATTAAAGCTGAAGAAGAATTTACAACTTCGAGCTTTTTCAATATAAATTACACAAAATCTACTGTTCTTCATAAAACCCGCTTGTATCTTTTGCAAAATAACTATAAGACACATTTTGTTATTAAAGTTTTTTTAGGCAAGAAGCTCATTTGTGTTCACAAGATTGTAACTATTTTAGTCATAACTACTTGAGAATTTTTATGATGGATTTTTAATGGATTTTATAAAACAGAAGTAAAACTTTGAACAATAAATCCAATTTGATTTTTTAATGTTTAGAAGCTTGTATGTCGTCTTTGTGAATATTGATTGTGTCATAGTGATAATAATGTTTTAGATGGTGTAACATGTGTCTGAAACTGAAAAAAAAACTTGAAACATTTGGTCAGGAGTGGTCACAGTGTCATAATTTTTTTTAGAATTTATATTTAATAATAATAAAACTAAACAATAATAAATTATTTTAATTCTAGAGTTTGATTAACTCAAAAAATATGAAACGATTGAAATGAAATGAAACTAACATTTGAGAGCCGTGTTTAGTTTAACTCAACAGCTTTGACACTTTTTTATGTTGAGTTTTGTTGTTGATAAATCCGTTATTTTGCGAGGTTGCGAGGTTTAGATTATAATATTTGCTTTATCTGGAAGTTATAAGACATTTTGTGTTTTTAAATTAAGAAATTAATCAATAAATTAAAAAGTAAATGGCATCGTGCCGCTAAAATGAATATTATTTCGTTCTGCTTTTAGTGTTAATATCTTTCTCCCAAATTGTTTTTAAATCAGTTTTTTCAATACAACGTGCAAATAAAACCGCGAACATAATTAAATCTTGTTTCGGCCATAAGCTTATAATTTTTTGTTAGCCAGACGATCTTTATGTTTGACCGTTCTTGAATATCAGTTTATAGCATATGATTTAAATTTTTATTAACGTCAGGTTGTAAATCAAGTCGAGACATTTCTGGCAGTTTATGTTAAGCTCCAATAATATTTTTATTTTTTTCATTGTCTTTTTATGTTGCAACAGCTTATTGCTTCGTATTTATGATTAAACATAATAGTGAATAGCTTCCACGAAGCCACATTTTCAGAGCCCACTTTCAAAGTTAATAACTGAAATTAAGTGAAATCTCGAACATCCTTTCGATGTCATTTAATTAACTCGCTGAATGTTTGTTTTAAATATTTACCAACATTATTGATTGATTTTTTTCTAACGCGTTTATTAATTGAAAATGATTCAGACTCGTCTATCCGTCAGCCACCATTCCCTGATCTTAATATAGAACCGATCATTTATCTAGTAAGCGTAGCTGTCATCTGTCAGACTTGGTTAAATATGTTTGATGCCAAGTACAACGCTATTAAACGGAACACAACCTCCTCATTATAATCAGCATTGTCTCGTACTCCACATAAAACCTTCCTAACAATGGCAATTTCATAAAACTGCCAGCCGGTGCATAAACAACCAACCATTCGTCACATTTTCAGACACCACAAGCAACACCCAATCCTCACCTTTGCAACCCATTTTTTTCATTTCATCAAAACAAAAAGCCAAATTGTCACTCTGCTTTGAATTTTTGCCAAAAATTTGAATACATTTTTGGATGGGAGTAGAATTTGCATCACCCGGTATAATTACGTGTCTATAACTAATAGTCATGCCATAACTAATCTATATTATGTAGTTGAAGTGAAGGTCGAGTCAAAATTACTCGATTTATATTATATTTAATGTGACTAATATAAACGAAAAGTCATATCAGTAAAAATTTAATGTGGAAAATGTAATAAATCAAACTATGAAACGTCAAAACAAAATAATTTTGCTAAATAAAATTGGGTGATAATGAGCAAATAATAAGCCATGATGGTGTAAAGGTATGGGCAACAGATGGACCTTTTTGTGCATTTATTATAGGGTATTCTAATTACAAATATAAATTATATCTTATTATTAAACATTAAAGCGTTCTAGTTTATTTTATGTGGGGAATTTTCGAGTTTAATGCTATTCCACAAAGCTGATTTAATTAAAGCCAAGTGTTTTAGTGGCTTGGCACTGAAGACAGTAATTTTGTATATAAATATTATTTTCGAAAAAAGTTTCATTAAAATGAAACATTCTTATACAAAATTTTTGTTTCTCGTTACTTTTCTATATAAAAAAGTCAGAACATTAACGAACAATTAGCAAAATATTTTAGTAATTAAAAAAGGTAATTAGTAATAGAAGCAAAGATCTGATTAATTCTATTTTTTAAAGGTAATGATTGTTGCTAATTAATTCAAATGAATCGAACTTTAATAGTATATTAGAGAACAAGTTTTATAAGGGTTGATTTGGCGCACGAATCCCAAGTTAGAAAACGAGCCGTAGGCGAGTTTTCTATGGGGTGAGTGCGCCAATGCCATTATAACACGAGTATTTTATGCTATTTTTTCTAATTTGCGCCTCCTTTTTTCTTATTTTAATTAAAAAAATATATATTTTTGTCGCCTAGAGAATTTTGTGTTAGTTGGTATCGGTTGGTAACACTCGGCGCCCACCTGTTTTTTTGAGTCATTTCTGCCGTCTGTCATTAAAAATAAAATTTACAAATTATTAGTTATTAGTGTTACAACATAATAATAACAATAAATAAAATATGAGAAACAGAATTTAGTTTGCACTCCGCCCGAAATTCGCGAAATTGCCGAAGCAACAACGCAAAATTTGTTACCTGACAAGTCAAAAGCGGCATCCAAAAACTAAATAACCCTAAATTCATTAAAGCACAGTGTGCTTTTATAGAGCCATAAACGACTCCTACGGGAGACATTAATAAACGTATTATAAACGCAAATTAGAAAAAATGTATTAAAATAGATTTTTGGTCGCTGTATGAGTTACTTGTTGCAACATAGAATCCTTTTGTAACACTGATACTGATATTAAGAGAAGAGCATAAAATTGAAAACAAAAAGAAAAAATATTAACATTTAAATGATAAAAACGAGCATAAAAATAAAACAGAAACAAGCTTAAAATAATTAGATTTTGGAGCAGTGGCCTTTTGCTTTGAAATTAATTTGGCAACATTGAATAATAAAAGACAGATATGAGATTTGTCAATTCTTTTGGCGTGTTTTTCTTGTGTTTATTTATGTGTGAATATTGACTTCCTCTTCCAGATACATGAAATACTTATACCCTTACGAATGTGAAAAACGTCGCCTCAGCACTCCCGCCGAACTTCAAGCTGCCATCGACGGTAACCGCCGCGAAGGCCGCCGCAGCAGCTACGGCCAGTACGACTCCATGCAGCGTTCCCCCAACCCCTCGCAGATGTCGCCATTGTCCCTTGTATCCCAACAGCAGCAACTTGCCGCCCGTATGAACTCTGTCATGAGCGGCGGCATGGGCCTCCACAACGGCGCCCACCACCCTAGCCACCCCCAACCTCTAGGCCAGCCACTCAACGGCGGCCCCCTTCCTGGTCTCGCCCCCAGCGAGTTCGAGGCGCGCATGATGGAGTATGTAAAACTTCTCAACAAGGAGATCCGGAGCTCGGCTGCGACTCCGCCGCGACAAGGAGATGTTTCTCCCCCCAACACCACTTCACCCCTCAACCAGCTGGAGTTGTCGCGGATAACACTCTGGAATATGTACAATAATAATCAGCCCCCCGTCGAGCCCCAAAAGGAGGCGCTGAATCTCTCGGATCCGACGCAACCCTCGGTGAAGAGGGAGCCGGAGCACAGGGACTCGCCGCCGCCTCCGAAGAAGTTTTCCAAAGATGAAGACGAACAGAAGATCTCGCCCGCCACGCATATCAAAATTAACAGTAGGGGTAAGTGAAGTATTTTTTTATTATACAGGCGTTTTTGGCTTGAATTATTTATTAATACAGGGTGATTAAAAAATTTTGGACCATTATTTGGTTGGTGATAAAGGAGTTATTATAACTGAGTTAAACCAAAAATTGTTTGAGCCTTTTTTCACAAGACATTGCTCTTCATAAGTTAGATCTTTGTTTGTTTTTGACCGTTTAGATCATGTATTCTTGAATTTAGTTGGCGGAAACAGCAGATTTTGCAACCTTAAACAGATTCCTGTTGAAAAAAATCACCAATATGCGTCTTATGGTGTACAAAACTAACAAACTAGCTAATTCAACAATAAATTAAATCCGAAAACATCGAAAACTAAAGAACTTAGGTGCCCTATCTGTGTAGGTGTCCCATCTTTGCTGTTTTCTCAGAAAAAAAAACAGTTTTAAAAAATCTGTATTTATTTTTATACTTAACTGAAAGTTTTCTATCATTCTAGAGTTGGTCCGACACTTTTAAATCACCCTATATATTTTTTGAAAAAAACTAATTGGTGAATGATAAATTACTTCAAAAAGTGTAACATTTGTGCAATTTTATTTCTTTTTGCATGAGTTTTGAAAAATTTATTAAATTTTTAAATAACATACCTAATCTATTAGAATTAAGACTTCCAACTACCTGAATAGAATTCAATTTTTATTCAATTAAAATTTTATAGCATAGTATATTGCCGTTTAAAAAAAGTGCAGGACTTCAACAATTATTTTTTTCTATTTTGCGCTTTTATGCAGTTTTTTTTTGAAAAAGAAATTTTTTGAATTCAGGGAATTTGGTGAGCTATAGCATGAAAGTATAGGAAAATTTAATTTGTTTTTGTGCGTAATCTGGAAATGAATTCTGAAGATTTTTTATGTGCCACCGAAAATTAGGAAAATTTATAAGAATACTGTAAGCAATTTACTTCTAAAGGCATTGTCACCAACATTAAAAACATGAAATAGACTAGGGTAGTAAGTAGTAACCCACTGTGGGAAGCACTCAAACGGGTTCGTTACTAGCGTTGTAAAGACGCAAAATAGAAAAAATTATTTAAAAGCCTTTCAAAGTTGTCTACAGGGTTGCGATTTTTTTAAGTAACTGAAAATTAAAATCGGTATTTGTTTTGTCTTCTGTAATTTGGATGTGTACGAGACCAGGAATTTTTAATAATGACCCGAATGGCCTCCTAGTTGTCAGAGTAATTGATGGTCACTTTTCGCCTGTAATAAGGCACTAGATTAACCAGTTTAATGATCCGAATGATTAATGATATGTTTTTTGCAGGGGATGCGCGTAACGGAGACAGTTCCTTAGTAGTCAGTATGGAATTAAATGGAATTACGTATCAAGGCGTTTTATTCGCGCAGTCTTCGCCATCTAGCGGCCGAACGGCGATGGCTTCGTAAAGGAAACCTCTCTGAATGTGATGTAGAAATCGTATTTGACGGTTTCTGTGGCGCTAAAGTGGGACACGCTTTTCAATTGTTTCATATTTATTATTTTTTTAGTTGTGTGTTTTTAGTGATCTAGTGCTCCAGGAACTTATGTACCCTTTTTTATAATGTGAAAGTTTTTTTTTTTTGTAATCCTACAAAGCTGTAAATCCGTAATGGCATCGCATTAAATACATGTTTAAGTACAAAAGTAATTGTCTAATGTATAAAATAGAATAAATGAAGTTTATGGCACATTGAGTGTAGAGATTTGGCTTCATTAGGCTATTGTAACTGTTGGTCGTCTTGAAAATTATGAATATTATGACATAAATCAAGAGATATGACAGTTTTAATGGGCCACTATACTTAAAACTTCCCATTTTGCAACTTAGAACACTTAAATCTACTTACGTACATGGCCAGTCTGCAAGTTATTGTTCATTTTTGTCTAAACATAAAACCTATTTGTGGGAAATGTTAATTGAGTAAATTTATTTTTTGAGCCCCTGTAACAAAGTTTTGAAATAGTTTAATTTCTCGTGAATGAGTTTTATGAATAGATTATGCGCACGTACATAATTAGTTTCACTTGTTTCAAATTTATATGAAATTAATAAACAATTTACAGAACATCTCGACAACGTTTTTGTAAATAGCTATAAATACTTTAGTATCAGTATTTGAGGATATATTTGTGTGTTATATATATTTTTTTGTATATCTACCAAAAGACTGTTATTTTATTAATTTTTAAATATATTATTATGATAAAACAGGTTAGATTACTTATTTATTAAGTGATTTTAGTGTATTTATGAAATCAATTAATGTGTAGCAATATTAGTCAATAAGTGTAGATGATATGAAAATTACTGTAGTTCCAAAATTGTAGTCGTAGTTCATAAATGACATCGAAAATTCGATCATCCCTACAAACTTTGTGAAAATTTGTTGATTTTTTGATCTGATTATCTCAGGGATATTTGATGGTAATGTGCAAAACATATTCCTGCTTTCATTGTGTTCTAGTTATTCTTTCAAAGTTTGTGAGTATTTAAGGCGAAAGTCCAGCATTCTAATTCAGTGTATTACTGTAAATACCAATTACCTACCATTAAACATACTCGTAAATAATTCTCTTTTTGTATCATTTCTTTAATCAAATACCTAATCCAGAAAATAACATGCAGGTGATTTTTTAATCAAAAAAATTTTTAATTAAGAAAAAATATAACTTAATATCCTGATACTTAATAAATTCGTAGTAAAGGCCGCAAGCGGTTTTGTTTATTATCTACCAATCAGCAATTTTTTGCTCAACTTTTTGTCACCACGACAATTTTTCGTTCTTTTTTTTGTTACTACAGGAATTCTTTATTTCTTTAAGTCCAACTTAAATTAAACTCTTGATACATTTAATTAAGACCATAAGCGATTTTTTCGTTCAATGTTTATGAGCGATTTTTTGTTTACACAAGTAATTATTTTAAATTATTTCAATCTAACCTAACCTAATGAGGATTAACAAATTCTTAACAGCGGATAGCAGCGCTTTTTGGTTAATTTTTCTGTACCCCTGGGCGAGTTTTTGCTTAAATTTATGTGACCACGAGCGATTTTTTGTTCTATTTTTTTTGTTACTAGAAGAATGTTTAAAATATTTCTAAAATCCAACCAAAACTCCTGAAACTTAACCAATTTTTAACAAAAACCACAAGTGGATTTTTGTGAATATGAGGGACACGACATATATCTATGTCACCTTACAGGTAAGGAATCCTATCTCCATTGCTATAAAATTATAGATTTAGAAAGTAAAGTAAAATTTGAGCTCCTGGGATATTGACTTTTAACAAAAAATTGGAGATAAAAGATTCTCTATATCTAAGGTATGTACATATGCATATGTATGTATATAAACAATCTCTTTTTTGTCCTCATCTTGATTTCCTCAGACCATTGATTCATGGGACTGGCGGGGCCCCAGGGGTGTTAGGATTAAGAAAATAGGTGGGCCGTGGGTGAGCGACTTATGTCTTAGGGTGGGCATCACAATTATAATACAATTTAAAAAATACTATCTAAAATATGTTTTATTTTTACAAGTTTTAATGAATTTATTATAACATTTTTATAATTTATTTATCTATTTTGAGCCTTCTATAATTTGCTTGGTAGATTTCGCCCAAACAGAAATAAGTAGTAGGTGATTAAACAAACTATTCGCTATTAATTACATAATATATGTAATTATAAAATTATATTATTTTGTTAATGAATCATTAATCAATTTTTACGTAATTTGAATTACGGAGAGAATAAATTTATTTTTAAACCATGTTAATAACGTTGTGCATTTAAAAATCAGAAGATACGAGTGATTGAATGTTTAAATTTATTAAAACACTTGGTATTTGTAGGTCATCGTGTAATCAACGGTTACGAAAAATTTTTCCTTTACGCTCGTATTTGAAACATGTTATTTGATGGTGTTTAATAGATAAATAATTCAGTTGTAGACTGTTTTGAAGTAACCTTCCCTTCTAGACTTTAAACATAATAAAAACACCTCCTGGAGTTCCAGGTAAAATCATCAAAAATTTCTCACGTTCTAATAAATTTTGTAGGCAAATACTAAAACAAATCATTAATTATGCGCGTGAACATTTCGCAGGAAACATAAACAATCTTCGATATACTGCATACATCATTCTCATAAATTTTCCAACAGGAGCGTAAAAATGTAGTATCCTCTGTTCTGTTGTAAATTTACAGGATTCAACAAGTGTCAGCTGCCGAGAGCGTCCTCTGTCCTCGATCCAGGCGCAAGTCTGAAATTTCAGCGGTTGGTTCGCAGGAATTGCAGCTAGCAGGATTCACTTGTTGGAATCGGCAGGAAGGTGTTACGTGATAGAGTCGCGCGCGTAAACAGCTCGTCACATGTGCATCATCTTATTTGAATTTAAAACTATGACAATAATAATATAAAGCAGTAGATTTAAATAATAACGTGGCGTTACGTAACTCGTCTCGAATAATTGTGATAAGTATTAAATAAATCAGCGGCTTATCACCACCACAAAATGAAAAAATGTAAGTATATGTTGTTAATAATTATGAAATAAACATAAACCACGTGACTGTTCTTCATTTTGTTTCATTTGTCGGGATAATTAATTGTTGCTGAGTGCAATAATTCCATTACTACTCTGACCGACAATTGCTTTTCTAAACAGTCTTTTTATGATAATGACTTACAATGATATATAATATCAATTTAGTAATTGTTGTGTTTGTCTCAGCGAGTGAGTGCACATTTATAACAAGACGGTAATCTTACTCGAAATTTCTGTTTTCATCATAAATTAAACGTGAGATAAACTCTTATTACGCAAATTTTACTAAATCAACTGAAACAAAACTCGTACGTATGAGTTTCTAATTAGCACCAATAAGCACATTTTTCGAAAATATTTGGTATTGATTTTTGTTTGTTCGCCGAAATTGTTAAAACTTTGACGACGATAATTATCCCAATATCTAATACACACATTAGATAAAAAAGGTTTGTAAATTGCTATCATGAACAGTGTGATGTTAATGCAAAATGTATTAAAATAATGAGTACTCATACGAGATTGACTTACATTTTGATAAGAGGTCATTTGTCACAAAGAGGACTGAATTTATTTCAAATCATCCAGTTTTATTAAATTATAGAACAACAGATAGATTATTTGAACTAATGAATTTCTATGTCCTGCTCTGTTATTTCATGTAATTTTACAAAACATGCATATTTTAGCCACATTACAAAGATATGCTTGGATGCAGTTGTTCAATCGATCAGAACGAAATTATTTTACTAACAGGAAAATTGGGAATGGCGTATGTCTTAAATATTGATCTTGAGTTTGAAACTTTCTAAACAAATGATTAAATTTTATTTAAACTTAATTTGATGAAGCAAACAGTAAAATGGTTAATTTTGTATAGTTGAAACCTCCTTTTTAAAAAGATTTGCAACAAATAACTTTATAAAGTTGTTTAAAATTTTCTCGTCTTTTATGTTTAGATTTGGCTTCAATATAAGGAAATGAAATTAGCTTTAGGGTTTTTTAGGTTTTTGTTTATTTTTTGGAAATATAATCAGTAATTTCCAGAAAGAAATGTTTTGTTAATTTTTATTTTGTTGGGTATACTGAATTATTTGTGGTTCTAATAAAAAAGAGTAATCAAATTAAGTCATGTCTAGCTTCGATATATTTAGCTTTCATAATTTTATGGAAGATTATTTTCCATTCTGTTGTGAAGCATTTAATTCTTTTGAACAAGGATTCTAATCCTTGAGGTAATTAATGTATTCTTTTTTGTCGCCTGAAAGAATTGTTAAGTACTACTATTATGAATTTAATTATATGAGATTAAAGTAAACGTGAAGAAGGGTAATTAATCTAAAAATATGAAAACTTAGTTATATTTTTTGTCAGACTACAAAGTTTTTAATTTTCTGAATACGTAATAATGCATGAATGTTTTTATGATGCACTTAGGAAGTGTTGGAAAACAAAATAAAGTGACAGTAATCAACCAAGCAAATTGAATGAAGTTAGCTAAATTAAAGAACATCATAAGTGAATGGCAGAACGATGAGGAAACTCGAGAGGGAAACTTAAGAAATCCTTCTTTTTGTAATTACGAGTCGACAGTTAACAATATTAAGCAAACTCAAACTTTTAAATGGAGTTACTAAATCCTCAGTTTTGTTATATTATCCAAAATAACAATATAAGCTAAATAGGTGTCATTTATAGGTTGTACATACATTAAACTGACATGTACTGCTCAAAACAATTTGAAATGACTTTTTCAGATGGGATTTCTAAAATTAATAAATCAAATACGAGTTTGTGTCATGAATAGTCTCTCAATCACTCTTTTCCCGTGATAAATCAATCAATATTGGTCGAGAGGATTAGTTCAAAAATTGAAATTTTGTAAAATATATAAATTTATTTTTAATAAGTTGCAATTAACTAGGTATACTTTGTAAACATGTCGATATTCATAAAGTGTAAGGAAATAATGTACAAAAGTTTTATTTTGTGTTTTAGGGGTTGCCAAACAATAATATTTTTTATGATTAATTAGTTTTCTACATTTTTCTTGTTTTTTTCCCGGTTTTAGCTGGAATCTGTGAAAAGAAAGCACAGAAAAGTCGGAAGATTTTATTACACTTGGATGAGAATATTCAAATGGATTTTTTTGAAGTAAAGTTATTACAAGAGACTGTTATGAAAAACCCTCGTCTCAAGATAGAAAGCAAAAGTAATACTGTCAAACTGCCTTATTTAAAACTGATAAAATGTGAAGTAATTAATATGACGTTGATGTATTTTTATTATTGAAACTCACATGTTTTGCTAACTATTATAATAGACCTATCTTTTATGAGCTGAATTTAAATAGGTACATACAAAATCAACTACAGAGCCGCACCAATATGAATAATTTAAATTACCCATAACGTTGTTTGCTCGGTTAAAATTAATATGATATAAATTTTAAAAAAGTAATGGGATATCAATGAAATAGCAGCGATTTAATTATAAATATCCATAAATTAGGAGCATGGAGTTTTTAAAATATTATTATTATACTTTTTTGTTTCATTTCTAAAAAGTTGTCCAAGTTTTGCAAGTCTTGCTGCTACATCAGAGTCTAACTTTTTATTTTACGTTGAACCCTTGTCTTTGTCATCACTGTTACTGTTTGCAATTTTGTTGTTTAGTTTTATTTATTAATAAATTATGCATGATCAAAAGTTTTATCAAACTAGAGAGCGTATGTTGAAGTTGTTGGAGACAGTTTCATGCTGTTTCAGTTTTAAGCTCTAAGCTTTTAGGTAATGATTGGCAAGAATTTATTTTATTGTAACAATATGACAGACCCAAAAACAAAGCTATTCATACGAACCCGGACGTTTGTTAGCGGGATGTAGCCAACCCTTCTGTTCAGATTGCTGAAACATTTTATTTACCCTTTTGAATTATAAAAATGACATATTTAAAAGTTTTTGTAAACGAAAAGTACCTACATTCTTGTTTTGAAACTTGTTGGAAGTCTTTTTCTGC